ACCGAGGATGAGGGAAAGCTTTATAGAAAGTATAATTTTTTACAAGTAGGTGTGAAAAGAGTCAGGCCCGGGTTTAGTTGATCTCATCTGGCAGAGATTTCCAAATCTGCTTTTCCTCAAAGAAAACGTTCCTTTTTTGGGGAGTTATTGGTCAGTCTGTTGTATTTTCCCAGTGGAGAACTGAGTTGGAGGGATCAGAACAACCCAAAGAGCTCGTGAGTTCCGAGGTTATTGTAAGCCTCATGTATGTTTGGGCTTCATCAAACCCTAGGGTGTTCTGATGTGGTTTACTATGCTACAAAAACATGGACTCTTTTAGGTTGAGATGGACATAGAGTCTGTACACTATTGTGAAGCTCCTTTTGAGTAGCAGCAGGGGTCATAAGCAATCAAAAAGTGATTTTTTTTAGTTACTAAGGATTGAAAACAGAAATGAGACCCATAATTAGAAAGCTTCCTAAGAATGTTAAGATGCTTTGAGGTAAAATTTTGGAAAGATAAGTGTGAAAGAGAGAAACATGGAGAACGAGAACCCACTTGGTCTTTTCAACTGCTGGAAACCTGGTATTATCAGAGTTTAGACAGTTGGTATCGGATGGGTACCCTGGCACACGCTGCCACCTGCTCCCAGATTGGACACGAGAAGCTTTTCGTTTGAGCAAGCAGAGACTGCCCCAAAATAGGATCCATTTTCCTCAATGTTGCGAGACTGTTATGCCACACATCTTCTGTAATTGTAGTGGAAACTGTCCAGCACATCATGAGGTACCTGCTAGGCAACTGCTTGAGGGCAGGAACTTTTTCAGCTGGACCACTGTTTTTATATAGCAAATAAACTCAGCAGGATGGCTGCAGCTGTCAGTGCTCAAAGGCTTTATGTTTTGGGGTTTTTTTTGTTTGTTTTGGCTTTTTTTTTGAGGCGCCAGCAGTATGATCACCAACGTGTCCCTTCAGCCTCCTGTACAGCTCTGCCCGTCTCATTGCTCTGTCTGCTGGTGCGTGTCTATGCAGGCTGCGGAGGAATTTGGTCCGCTCGCACAGTGCCCTCCCAGCCCATCCCCTGGTTCTGCTCAGTACATGGAGCCACACTTGCAAGGAGGAGCAGACTGAGACACGTGGGTTGGCTGGAAATAAGGAAACACCTGGAAATCGGGAAACAGCAGAAAGTGCTGGCAAAGGGAACAAATCCTGAAGGGATGAGACAAGGCAGCTGAGGAAGGTTGGAGGAAGGCAGGGAGGAGCTAGCAGCACGCAGTGCTGTTGGGGGAGCGCCAGCAGCCCGGGATGCAGACCCTGAATGCAGATGAAACAGCAGCCTCCTGCAGCGGGGAGCTGGCGCTTGTGTAAGAGCTCTTCAATGCATGCACAGTTAAAAATAAAAGGTGTTTGTATAGCGTTGACTCTCCGCGTGCTAACACGAAGAAGAATGCAAATAGAAGCATGAGCAACAAGGAGGAGGTGGTTTAATGGCTTTGGGGATTAGCAGCGGTATTTAGAGCCTTTCACCTCTCTGTTCCTAACATAAATCTCAACACAGATTGATGGTTTTAGCCATCTGGCTCGTGTTTGCTTGTGTGCAACGACTAGCGAGACAGAGAAAGAACCTGACCAGCAAGGCAAAAGACAAAAAAGTATATGACAGAAGAAGGCATCTTCTTCTCCAGTGTCAGTAAGAGCAGGTATGGTGCAATTACTCTGTTTCACAGAGCTCAGCAGGTAACAAGGGAGAGGGGAATGAAAGAGTAACAGGCATCGCTTGGTACATGACTCTGCCAAGGAGTCTGTGACTTATACAAATGTGTATGCTCTGAGCAACTTGCTCCCAAATGCAAAGCTCTCTGATATTTAGAGATAGAGTTACCCCAGATAGCATGAGATTTAGAGGGCGAATTTCAATCATAGGTTGACTCTTAACTGTAAATTATTTTATACTCGACTGGAAACTGTTCTGCCATACATCACCCATCTAATACATTAATTTTATATACTATAGCCCAACTTATAAGCTGGAAAATTTTGTGCTCTCAACCATATGACACATTTTGGATTAGATGACTTCCTTGTATCTTAAACCTTCTCCGTACTGATGCGAGTTTTCTTGGGCTTGGGCTGACCCTTGCAAGGGAGTCACTGTCAATTTTCCTCTCACCTCCAGGTTGCAAGGTCTGTCATTCCTTTTCCAGCAAGGTCATCTTGGTAGAGCTTGTCAAAATCCAGGGCTTTAATGGGGAAGCCATGTTGAAAGGTGGCTGTCTGCTTCTCCAGATAAAAGAGTAACCAAGAGTGGGTACATACATGCCCACACTACAGCATGTTTTCCTAGTCAATTATTTTTCAACAACTCTTGAATAATGGTGAGAGTTACAGAGGACCTCACCTCTGATCTTTTAAATGGGGGAGTTTGGGCAAGAAATATTGATATGTCTTTAGGGAAATGTTTACTGGTGTCAAAGATTCACTCTTGGGTTCTCAGTTTTGCTTTGAGATCGACCGTCTGTGGTGCATATTTCAAACCAAAGCAAACCTCTAGAAGGCTTCCTCTAGATGGGGTCAAAAAATGTATAGGAAGCATTAAAAAAAGCCCAACAAACCAAAACTATTACTAATCTAATTTATAGCAATCTTGGCACTGATTTTGCTTTGTATTAGGCATGTAGAGCTTCAGTAAAGAATACTTTTACTTGCTTTTACTTCTTCAGAAACAGTAATCAAGAAACTGCCTGTAATATTCTTGAGGGAAAGCGAATGAATTTTGGATATAGATTTCTAGAATAGTGGGGGGTTTATCTCAAATAATTGGTTTTGGCATAGAGCTCTGATAGCTAGACATGATGTTTATCACTTCAGCCAGCCACACCAAGGTCAGTGAAAGAGACCGCTTTATATTTGTCAGGGAAGCACTTCCACTAGGTGCTTTAATAACGTGAAAGTAAGAATTATAGACACACGAAGTGACTGGGGAGTGCTGTGTGCCACAGTGAAACTCAGATTCAGATCTAGACTGGGGTAGAAATTTCAAAGGCACCATGATGACCTAAAGGTCATGTCACCAAGCGGTTGGGAGCCCAACTCCCATATTCAGAAATGACATTAAGGACTTTACTGCCTTTCAGAGAGACTTAGATTCCTTTTCCCAGAAAAAAAAAAAACAGCCTTTAATTCATGATTAGTTCACAAAAGCAGTCTTTGCCTCTTCATAATTATGTTGCATAATGACTTCACTACTTTTTAATAACATCAGATTTCTTGTCTGTGTCCATTATCACCAGCTTAGAAGCTATTCTGTTGCTTTGGGAATTTCATATTCCAAGTCACTTACAGAACTATAATTAAGAACTTCCGCAGAAGACCAGGTGATATATGTATGTTAAGATATTATATTCTGCTGATTTAGTGTCAAGTCTTAGACTAATTTGAAATTTTATCATGCTGGTTTCATTATAAATACTTCCATGGAAAGAACATGTTATTGGAAACTGAATAATTAATAATCTCTATGTTAACGAAATGTTTTCTGAGAGGTTTGTTGAAAAATGTCAGGACTCCAGATGAAAATCCTGGCTCTGTTGAAGTCAATGGCAGAATTCCCGCTGGCTTTAACAAGATTTTTCATTTCCGTATCAGAAAAATTACTTGTCAAAGCTCCTTAAAGTTTCCGTGTACAAATTTGTATTTGTACAGTAGGAGTCCGTGTGTCTTTTTAATCTCCAAAACAATTGTTTGCAGAATGAGTAGAAAGGAAGTAAAAAGTGCAGTGACTTTTTTCAGTCCTGATCCTTTGAGCCGGACAAAAGCGTACTCAAGAGGAACGAAACCTGCTGTCATTTAGTGGCTTCTGAAAGTCCTGCCCTCCAGGTCATGTCTGAGTGAGACTGGAAGGTAGAGAAGGGTGGATACAGATCCATCTACTGTTGATTCACAAAGCATCCATGAAAATTCTTGTGCTCATGATTTTAATGTGTATAGCAAATGTAATTGCCAGTGGAGGCCTCTGTTATTAACTAGTTGTTCTGTTCTCATGCTACTTAAAGTTTCAGGCTTCAAATCCTGATGAAAGCAGAGCTTAATCCTCATAGCATGTGTCACAGAATTTGGATCTCAGTGGAGTTTATAGTGTAAAGGTCTGACCCTGAAACTTAGAACCTAAACACTGCTGTTAGTTTCTGTTGCCTTGATCATGATATTGCAAAACTCCTTTGGGTCAAATGATGGTTGTAATATGCACGTACAGAAGTTTGAAGAATGTTAAGCTTTAGACGGAAATTGTAGGCTTGGTACAGTATTTGAACATGCCCAAATCCATTTAAAAGGGTATAAATGAAGTCTACATGAATTAGGAACATAGTTGACACAACTTTCTGTGGTCCATGAGCTCTCCATTAGATGATGAGGGCTCTGGAACATTGAATTACTTGTTAACAAAACCTAGTATTTATTATTTTTCCTCATCAGAACAACTTGCGGTAAGAAACTCCTTTGTTACCAAAATGCAACTTTTTGCAAAAGGAATCTGCTTTCTTCATATATCATCTTAATAATTACATGCATTCAATTCTTGCTTAGCCCAGGTTTGGTCTTAAACCAAAGTTCTGTCTGACAAATTTATAATTACTTCTTTATGTGGTACGATTTCTGGATAACTAGTTCTCTTTTTAACAGAGCCAGCTGTTTCCCAGGAGACAAAGCAAACTGAAACTTAACAAGTAAACCAAAAACTCTGCTAGAAAAGAGAGTGCAGTTTCATTTTATACAAGTCATAATTTGCAGAATTCTGTAAATTATGCAGAATTTTATTCCCTGTCTTTATTCCCTGCATTACCTGTATCTGGTAGTAACAGTCTAGTATCAAAACCTCTTTTTCCCATCTATTGCCAGATCTCACTGCAAAATGTTAAATGAGTGGAGGCAAACTAAGATAGGGGCAATTTGAAACATGGAATCTTTCGTTTTAGATGTTTCCTAGTGTTCTTTTTGATAATTTTATTTTTTTTTTTTGACAGATGATGCTAATGAAGAAGGGACTGAGCTGAGTGAAGAGACAGGTGAGTAAACAATATTTTAGGCTAAATTGATCGCTTCTCTGAACCGTCAACCAAACAGAAAGAATTCTTGAAACTAATTGCCTTGGTTGTGATGAGCAGTGCCAATCATTTATTGCCAATGTTACAACTGTCATCTCTGGTTTTTAACATATCATAGAGTAAACCATCCCTGGTAATAAATAGTACACGGTAAGAATGGCTGAGACTACCTTTTTAATGTCATCATCTGTTATAAGCCTCTGGGTGATACTCAATTGCTTTTTATTAATAACTAGTTTGAACATGAATGGGAAATAATTAAAATTCTGCAGTCTCTTTGTCTGTAAAAAGGTGTGAATACAGCAATTCTTGAGTCATTTGCAATTCTGATTAGTGGCCATGATCTGTTTGCAGTGAAAAAGATAGCAAAACTCTCCCTCAAACTCTTAAATACCTCAGACTTTACCGGAAAATATTTCAGAGGACTTTTTTCCTGCCTTCCTAGTTTGTGGTTTGAAACGAGTGTCAATGTTTAGGGTTTCTGCCTGTGGATAGACTTGAAATGGAAATGATGGATAGGTATAAAGGAAAGAAAGGCCTGAGGAACAAGAAAGGAAGAGGACAGAGGATTAGAGATCTCCCATGAGGACAAAAGCTTCCAGTCAGAAGACTTCTGATAGTTTTTTGTAGAGAGCTTCATCCATGTAATCTTCTTTATCGGGCTTTTTATGACAGGCTTCCACCAAAGCACCCTGCGTTACTTTCCCTGCTGACCTTCACCTAGAGGTTCTCAGTGGACATCTCCCGTTCAGTAAGACTTCTGTGCAGTGAAGGACCTCCCTTTATAGGCAGCATAGGTTCCTCTACTCTTCTTCTCTGCCTCTCCTTCCTAACCAGCTAGTACCCATCTGTGACAGTGCACCAGGCATGTGCACTGTCCCTCAGGTCCCTGTGACCCCGATCCCATCATAGCCCAGTGACTGTGCAGGAATTTCCAGTTCTTCTCTTTATGAAAAGATACAGGATCAGAAAGGAGAGCCATGTGGAGAAAGGCAGAGAAATACCAGCCAGAAAACAGAGATAAAAACTTTTGAAGCAGTATGTTGGCTGCTTAAATTGGCAAGATTGTTGTAAAGACAAATGAATTTTGGTGATTTATGCAACCAGTTAATCAGCTTAGAAATTAGAAATACTTGAAGAATGGAGTATATGCGTAGATGTGAAAACATGGATATACACAGATAGATATGTGTTACACTGATGGATTAGCACATTCTTTCATGGCTGTTCTGGCCTGTTGATTTTATTACATATAATTATAATTACTTTTTGGTGTCAAGATTACTGGATAGGAGCTTTTAGAAATTTTAATACAATTAGTGTGATTGATACAGTTGTATGTACATACTTAAAAGTAGGAAAATTATACATCGTCGTTATACAACAAGCATTTGCCAAAGATTATCCTACAGTTTAATTTGCAGTATTCATCTAACATTTCCAATTTCATTTTTTACAGTTACCACGGCATGTATACTTTTATAAGCCCAATTATTTTGCATTTTTTGTCTTGTTGCTTATATGGAGATTATGCAAATTACATTGATTTTTTTTTTTTCCAAAAGCATTTTAAATTAGAATTAAAAGGAAGTATATTTCCACTTAATAGCCAGTCTCTTTCTTGCCTTGTATCCTTCACAGCTTCATTAATTTAGGTGAAGCTACATAGCTGCTCTGGGAAATTATCACTGAATTAAGTCATTTGAGGAAGATATTTCCCTCCTGTCTATTTCGTTGTGCATATGAGATAGATGAGATCATAGCTTCCCTCACAGGTTTGCCTGTAGGGTGCTATGAACTTCAACAGCACATACTTGGTTATTTCTTTATCACTTTGAGAAATTTTGGGAATCAGGGCATTGGTTGTCAGCAATCAATACCTACATGGCTAAAGAGAAGTATCCTTTGTATATGTGCACCAGTAGTGGCGCAGATGTACAAAAGTTATGCTCTTTTGACCTGTTTGCATATGGACTTTTTAACGATTTTCGGATGTGTTTGCGGGAGCTATAAATACATACGTAATTTCTGCCTTGAGTGGGAGTTTTCATTTTTATACTCAGATTTTTATCAGTTTGAAGGATATCCTCTTTTTACTGTTCTAAGGGAAAAATAGAGTAGCAACTTCTAGTCACCATTTCAAGATATTAATTGAATAATCATTCTTCATTCCACTTGACTTCATGGGTCATGACTCCAGCAGATGGAGTCGGCAGTTGGCACTGATATTGATGACCCTGGTTTTTTTGAGCTGTCCATGTCCAATCTGCTTTGGGGTTTTTTCTTCAATTCCTGTGCTTATGGTAGGGGGAAAAAAAAAAATAATTGTTGGATTCCTGGAGAGCACATGTTGCAGACTACACACGTGTATAGGATCTTTGGCAGAGATTCAAATATTCTAAATTTCACCTAAATTCTTGTGCCTCCAACTTTCTATTGGCTTGGTGTTTCTGAGAGCTAATATCAAACAAAGAGAAAACACTGAGAAGTGCAAGGACACAAATGAGATGTAGACTCATATCCGTACCAATTTTCTTTTGAAAAATGTAGTAGAATGAGGTGGAGGCTACAGAATCAGTCCAAATTTAGACCTGGTGGCAAGAAGTAGAGGAAAAAAACCTGATCCTGGTCTGGTGTCAGCTGAAGTCAATGGGAATATGTCCATTGGCTTCAGTGCACACTAGATGAGGCTTCAGAAACAGCTAGAGAATTAGCCTGGAGTAAGGAATAACAGATGACCAAATGTGTGCGTTATTGAGTGATGGATATGTTATGAAAGTAATCTGTCTTGTGTTTCTACCACCCTGAAGTGCAAATATCTCATTACATGCAGAAAGGCCTGCCTTCCTATGATTTCTCTTCAAAATAAATAAGGGAATATCTTAATTACATCTTCTAGATAGTCTCCATTAATATCTGCACTGATACTATAAAATCAACAAGCATGAATGATCATTTTAGTGAGTTCATCACATAACATGGCTGCATATATTGGATATAGTAGACTAAGAAAAACATTTAAAAATAAAAAGAACCTAGTCTTATTAAATATACACGCTCAAGACCACTTTTTAATGGTGTTTGTCTCACAGGATTTAACCCATCAGTTTGTTATTCTGGATGCTGTATCTTGTAGCAGCTGCTGACTTAATGGCACCAGTTAATCAAAGAGCTTTGATGTTATATGTCATACAGTTTGCTGTTAGAATGGCTCAAGTCAAGAGGGCAGATACAGTAATAGCAGGTACGGACTTGTGCAGTCCTACATCTCAGCTTTCCTTTATGAATGATTTCCTACATGAGCAAAGAGAAGGACCAGATGACCTAATAGTCTTGTCTACCTTTAACTTCAGTGATTTAACGCTGCAGAGTCATGATGCTTAATGTTTTAAGCTCCATTAAGGGAAGATTATTCCAAACTTTAACTTCTGAAGGACTTTGCTTTTATACCCGAAGATTCACATATCCACGCACAGAAGCGTGCAAAATAAGCCCTAATACTGCCATAATTGTGTGCACAATTGCAGTGATTACATGTGGAAACTATAGAAGCGTGTGCTATTATGAGAAGCACGGTTGAGATTCCTACACAAGAGTATCGCATTGTTATGCCCTGACATAAGTTAATTCTCTTACCATTCAAAAAAAAACCAAACAAAACAAAACACCAAAACAACCACCACAAAACAAAAGAAACACGCGGAAAAGTGTTTTAGTTCTGAATCTATGTTCTCCCTCAACTTGTTCATCTTCGCTCTCCACCAGGTACCAAACCCTTTTGATTTCATCAGTAAAAATTTTGCCACGCCACTGTCTCGTCGTTTCCCATTTAACAGTTGTTCCTAATAAATGCCCTGCTGGTTATCCTGTTTCTATCCTGAGCATCCTAATTAACCACTTATTCATTACTTCAGGAGCCACGGCCAGAGAGTGGCAGGATCAAGGATCTCCTTCACACTAACAAGGGAAGCTCTATTATAAACAATACTGTATAAATACGGAATTTCTTTGTATGTTCCACTTTGTGCACAGTCATATACTTGGATATTGTTTTTGGAGGGAGACTTATCTTTTTTCTGAGATGAAAATAACAAAGGCTTGTAACGAGGGAGATTTGGAAGTTGTGAGGGATTTGGGAATAGCTTACCTGGAGACAGACTGTGAGATTTAAGTGGCTTGTTGACCCTCTGAATTAGCCTATAAAGAAGAATCATGTCTCCCAGTGTTAGAGCTCAGAAACCTTTTTGCACAGACGATCACGATTAGAAAAGCTTTTAATACGATCAGTTTAGACACCTGTCTAGGTGTGCTATTTTTAAACAGAAATTTGCAGGCAAGATTTCTGTAATATTTGGCTAAATGTTCTGAAAGACATACATACTGTTGGAGAGCAGAAAGAGTTAAGAGTTGTATTTTGACCATAATAAAAATACATTTTTTTGAAGCCTGCACAAATCCTTTTCCGTGTCTGCAATGAGGGAAATCTGCTAAAAAGCAGTGAAATCGTGATTGAAATCTTGTTCTCCTGGGACGGTGACTCTCCATCCTTTTGTGAGCATGTTAAAGTTTATAGAGTTGCAAAAAGATCATTTCTTTTGAGATAGTAACAGTTCTGACTTCTAAGAATGTAAGCCTCCTCCCTCGCCGTCTTTGTGCTGTCAATTAAGATGCTGGTTATATTATCTGATGTATTCACACGCTCCTGAAAGACCTGGCTGGACGTTTGCACTTAAACTTGATTGACATTTGACTTGTGGGACTGGAGGAAGCCTCACCGATTGGTTAGATGATAAAACTCATCACTAGAGGGGTGAGTGTTGCTTGAAACACTCCTATTGATTTGGTCCCCTGATGTGAATTGTTGTCAACCGAAAAAGGGAACGTAGCAGGTAGTTCAGAGTGTCATTAGAACCAAAGAGGCCGTACGTCGATATGGTCCATTATAAATATTCAAGTTATTTTTTAGAAGAATGGGAGAGTGTTGGCAGGAATCAATCTTTAAAAGCTTGGTTATTTTCGAGATCTATCTGTTGTATTGAAGTTCTTGAACTCTATCACCGTTGCTTCTGGGTAACCCGTTTAAAGGGTTGACAAAATGTGTCTTTATTTGGCAGTTTTTGCCTTTATTTTTCCCCACTGTATTTCTTGTGGTTACTCCTACATTCTCACCACTCCAGAAATAAATTCATCATAGCGCTTGAAAACTCCTGTTTTCCTCAAAATATTGTATTTGCCTTTCAAATTCAGATGAACAAACATGACGACATGACACATGACATGTCCTATGTTAAATGCTGTCAGGAAAGTTCTACCTCCTGATACCAAGCCAAACCTCAAAGCGTGTTCTGCTTTGCAGTAACTAGCTGTACTTGCTGATTGCTGAGAGCCTTTCATTCTCTGAACTATATGGAATTCTATAATGAAATTCTGTTCTAGAAGAAATTTTTAAGAACTATATTCAGTTTTGCTGAATATATTTTGAACTATATTTTTGGGTAATGCTCATTCCTTAAAATTAAGCAAGTCAGATGGAATTTAATTGCACACACGTAGATCTCCATTATGGAATTTTTGTTGATGTTTTGAGCTGTTGCTTCACGTAAATTCCTGCGAGCTTCCTAATCCATGGCTTTTTTTTTTTTTTTTTTTCTTTGACATAATACAGTAGAATAACCGGTTTCCCAGGAGGGCAGGCAGAGAATGTTTCTGAGTTTCCTGGGTTCCATGCAAAGCCAGCGATTCTCTCTCTGTTTGTTTCTGGAATTAACACAATATTCCCCTTGACCCTGAAAGTTCCCTTTCCACATCCTTGATTACTTCTTTCACATCCCCTGTTTGAAAACTTTCAGCGTTTTGGTTCTAGATATACGTAGTTGTGAAAGGGTTGAACGTACAGCCAGTAGCAGAGCCGAGTCCTTTACGAGAACTGGGCATCTGATTACTGTGAGCTGTTAAAAATCCAGAGATGTACAGAGTAAATGATTGTGTGGGGTATGTATGACAGCAAAAGAGACGGGAGTTTTCGGAGCACTTAAGCAACTTATAATACACATGCAGATAGCTTTTTTCCCCAGTCACTAATTAACTAATCAATTTGAGGTAACACCATGATTCTTATTTTCTCACAACACAGCAATAGGGGTAAATCAAGCAAGGTCATATGTCTTCCTAAATTTCCTGGTTATAAGCAGTCAAGGTTTCTTTCCTGCACGCACAAAAGTATGTTTTCTTCAGGCTTCTCCTTCACCCAAGCCCTCAGTGGGCTGCAGGGAACTGGGAGGTTTGACGGAAAGTCAAATGACAGAAAGTCATTTTCCCGTCGCGGCTGGATAGATTCAATAGGTGCAATGAATTGAGTTTTAATTGTCTGCCATTCTCTTCGTTCATGGTTAAGCAACAATGTTTGAAGAATGTTTTAATTAGTGAACCTGCTTTCATTAAATGTCTTAATTTACAAATACCTTTTATGATTAATTTCCAGCTTTTCCTGCCTTTTGTACTATCGGGCTTTCTGTGCTACCCGTTTGTGCCATGAGGTCTATCGTAGCAAGCTAACAGTAAATGTTCTTTATGTTAAGATGACAGGGTATTTGAAAATGTAGAAAAAGTTCATCATTTTTTAAGTTTAGCCATCTGATACTAAACACTGTGAACATTGATCTTTACAAATAGGGGAGATCTTAAACTTAACTGGCCCCAGTTACCGTTTTTAGTTAGATTTTCCTTTTCTTCCATCTCCCTGTTGCTTTCTGGCTAAAGGTTGGAATGGATTTTTTTTCAACCAGAATGTTTCTATCTCGTAAAGCTTTTGTTTCCTTAACTTTGCTTCCCTATCAAATTTGCTTCCCTACCTTTTGTTTCGTTACTGATTTCAGTCAATATTAATTTGTTACTGTGTTATAACTTTGAATGGAGAATTGAGCTGAGAGGGGAAAAATAATTTCATTCACGTTATTTCTCCACAGTTCCATAATGCATTGTAATATATATATTAAAAACTGCAAATTAAAACATTATTAAATTTTCTATTTCTGAAGATTTTAAGAGCTTGTGAAGAAGTACGTTATTTTAGTATGAGCTTTCTTCACTGTTGTCATGTAAAAGTTAGGGAAAGTCCAGTCCAAGCTGAAAGATACCTTTTATGACTTATAAGAGATAGCGCAGGAATTATTAGTTCTAATAATGGAAAGACAGGCATTGGGTGCTAAATGGAGTGCTGAGGTAAAATGTATTCACAGTGATATCATGCATAGTAATATTTGATACAATAAAACAATTTCAAAATAATATATGTCATTTTTTTTAATTTCTATTTAAAAAAAGGATTGGAACAAAAAGGCCAGCCTCCACCTCCAACAAAGAGCAAAGCAGAGCAGCCTGAGGACCTGCAAGATGATGTTGAAGGTAGGTGGTCTGACAGCGTTTGAGAACTATTTATCAATTTTGCATTTTGAGGGTAAAGGTTTACTCTGAATTCTTGGGAAAAAGCTGGAAAACTTTCATTTAAGAACGTTGTTTACACATACTTAGAAAGTCACTTTTGGCCTACATCATGAGATTATAACTCTTCTGAAGTATGTTTCTTCTCAAGGTAGATTCAGAATTACAGATGCTGGTTTTATGTGATGGGCTACTGATTATTGCTGATGTAAAATGAGAAATTGTTAGTGTTTTCTGTAACCTGTTCTGACTTTATGTAATGAATAGTACAGAATTTAATGCATGTCGTGCAGGGCTTAGATCGTAGTCTGGCTGGTTAAGTTGATCAGGTATATCAGCTACCTGCTGCAAAACACAGAGCAATAAAAATCTTACTTTCCTTTTCTACAGAAATTTTTGCTATATCCTTTTCCACTCCAGTTACAGTGTTTATGGCTCTAGACCTTATGCAGTGTATTACATCTGTCCATGGTCAGAAGTCACAGGAGCTTAACATTATGCCTATAGCATTGTCCCTGTAAGAGTGCTTTCCTGCACTTGAGTCTTCACCGGGCAGCTTGTCCATGTGTACAGAGGTAAAGGTGGACTGCGTTGTTCTAAAATTAGGTCAAAGTATCTTTTCTTAATCTGTAGCTTGTTGGGAGAGTTGTTAGAAGATGTTATCATCAAAGACTTGTTTTCAGAGCGCAGAGTTTCACATTGCTCTCCTCTGTGGGGAAGAGCAAAATGCCCCAATGCTGGGGAATTCCCCTTATGTGAAATAGTTAAAAGGGTGAACCTTAATCTTTAATCCATGACGGTTCCTTATCATGGATTCTTTTTGACGTAATGTTCCTCAAACGACATGTCTCATTCTGCACCTCAACCAGTGGCTCCATGATCTTCATCATTTTGGCCTAGCGCTGTGCATTCAGCTCCTAAAATATTCTGACTGGGGTATGGTGTGAGTCATAAAGAGCAGAAAAATGTTAACATCTATCACTTTAAGTAACTGCTAGTAACATCCTGTCACTAACATTGTGACTGGTTGTTAATGGCAAGTACTTAAAGCAATAGCTGTCATCACCTGGAAGGTGTGAGGGGACCCAAGAAATCTCATCCTGACTGGTTGTCTTTCCTTTCATGCTGCACTAAACCCAGCTGAAATTAAAATACCATTTTTATGTTTGGCATAGTGGAATTCAGTGATGACAAACCACATGTCAATTTGTATGTAAGCTAAACGGCGTGTGGGATCGTGGTGTCATTTTCTGTATTCCTAAATAAGCGAAACAATAATAGTTTTTATGATACGTTTTTCTATGGAGTATGGCTAAAAGCTTTCCTTGTATCTGTTTTTTTTTTTAAAGAAAAGAGGAGCAAAAAAAATGATGCAAAACTGTAAAGTTTTCCTTCCATTGGAAAAATAACTGATGTTGTTCCACTGACTATTTCTGTGGCTTACTGGATATGGTTTCCTAGTTTACTACGCCTGTCAATG